GGATCTCTGTGAGTTCAAGACCAGCTTGGTCTACAAGAGCTAGTTCCAGTGGCTGTCCCTGGGCTGGGGAGTTGGATTCATTTCCCAGCACCACATAAAACTGGAATGTGATGACACATGCCTGTAATCTCAGTACAGGAAGTTGACAGAGGAGGACCAGATGTTCACAGTCATCCTCATTCAAAGGGAACCGAAGGCCAGCTGGGATAATGAAACTCTGTCTCAGAAATAAACCAAGGCCAGCAAGGTGGCTCAGCCTGGTCCCCAGAACTCGTATGGTGCAAGGGAGGGGAATGACCCCTGAAACTTGTCCTGTGACCTCCACACTTGCACTGCGCCATGAGTCCACACACATGAAGTGCAATGTTCTGCTCAGTGTAGGGACACTGTTCACTGGTTGGACCCTGGACTGTGTAAGTGGAGGCGGAAGCTGCTTCCTGATTGGGGATGAGATGTAAGCAATGCTTCAGGATCCTCCTGCCCTGAGCTCCCGGCCATCAAGTAGAACTGATGGCCGGGAGCCCTTGAGCTGAACTGAACTGTGAGCCAGACGATCTTAGAGTTTCTATTGCTGTGCAGAGATATCATGACCACAGCAACTCTTACAAAGGAAAGCATGGGATGGTTTATGGCTCAGAGGGTCCAGTCCATTATCATCATGGTGGCATGTCGCCCTGCAGGCAGACATGGTGTTGGACTGAACTGAGACGCTGGGCATGGCTTGAGCATATATGAGGACTCAAAGCCCACCACCACAGTGACACACTTCCTCCAACAAGGCCACACCTCCAAATAGTGCCACTCTCTATGGGCTTATATGAGCCAATTTATTCAAATACAACACACACTAAGCCCCTTCCTCCCTTTTTTGGCTTTTTGAGATAGAGTTTCTCTGTGTAGTCCTGGCTGTCCTGGAACTCACTCTGTGGACCAGGCTGGCCTCAAACTTGGAGATCGGCCTGCCTCTGCCTCCTGAGTGCTAGGATTAAAGGCATGCACCACCACTGTCCAGCTCTTGTTACTGCTCTTTGAAAACATTTTTATTACTGTATCGGTTTATTTATTCCAGGAACATGTTTCGGAGGTCAGAGGACACTTGTGTCAATCCGTTCTCTCCCTCCACTGTGTGGGTCCCAGGGACCAATTCGGACCATCAGACTTTTAATACCTTGATACTCTGTTGTTGCTCTTTGCATTTATTTTGTGTTAAGACAGGGCCTTACTATGTACCTAAAGCTGACCCTAACTCCCTGTGCAGCCCAGCCTAGCCTCAAACTCTTAGGCATCTCCTCAGCCTCCAAAGAGCCTGAATTACAGGTAGTGTCTTGTTTCTTTCTACCAGTTAGGATGATTAACTCCTTAGACAGAACAGAGACCTCTTGGAGCCACCCAGGTCCACACTGAATACTGTGAAATCTAGATTCTCCCAAGTAGGCTTTTCCTGAAGAAGGGCGCGTGGGGCAGAGCAGAGGGCTGGGGGGATGGCATTCAGTAAAGTGCTTGCCAGGCAGACATGAGGACTCCGAGTTTGGCTCCCCAGCACTCATGTGAAAATGCCAGCCATGTACACATCATCTCTGGGTCTTGCTGCCCGGCCAGTCTGGCTGAATTAGGGAGCTTCAAGTTCAGTGAGAGACCCTGTCTCCAAAAATAAGGTGAAGTGCATTGGAGGAGTTTATGGGATGTCAACTTCTGGTTCTGTGTGTGTGTGTGTGTGTGTGTGTGTGTGTGTGTGTGTGTGTGTGTGTGTGTGTGTGTGTGTGTTCACAGCATGCACACAGACACTGATTCAAATATGTGATGGCTAACAAGCTGAGCTAGATGGACTAATTAATGGCTCATTGTGCCTCCATTTCCCTATATGAAACAAAGGACAATTTTTGTGTACCTGACAGAGTTCTTGAATGCTTCAATTGGAACAAGTATGCCACATGTCAATAAATAATAACTTGCTGTCCACTGATGAGGACAATGGATGAGTTGCCATCTTTGCCATCTGAAACAGCTGAATATTAGCTTTAGCCCTGGCTCCCCCGAATGTATTTTTAAAGCCTGTGTTATGTGAAAGCAAATTCTTCCAGCCTCCCAGCCAATTTGTGTGGGGAATAACCTGAATGGTAGCCGAGTGCCAATTCAGGCTGACAGGGGCCAGCTCCGCTGGTTTCCTGTCTGTCCTCCTCCCCCTGGGTGCCTGTCTTGGGCAGATGTGTGCCAGCATCCCCATGTCTGCCACAGGTCACACTGCTGATTGCCTTCATCTGTGTGCGAAGCTCCGCCCCTCCCATCGACTATGGCGCCTACAGCTTCTTTGAGGTAGTCACCATCTGCGACCTCATAATGATTCTCATCTTTTACCTGGTCCATCTCTTCCGCTTCTACCGTGTGCTCACCTGCATCAGCTGGCCCCTGTCGGTAAGGAGGGCCTGGCCCCAGGCAGCATGCAGGGGTTGGGACATGGCTGCTTTGACCCTGGCTCTTCACGGCTGGGTGGACATCTCTGCTGGCCTTCTGAGGGTCTCTCAAGCTCACTTCCCAGCATTAGAAGGCTGGGACTCCTGTCTGCTGTGTGTGCGCGCAGTGTAGGAGGAAAAGCCCGGAAGGAAGGAGCTGGTGAGGGTATGTACACTATAGAGAGAGTTCATTGGTGACACTTGGTGGCAGAGGCTGCGAAGATAAACCAGAGGGATCTGTTTTGAAGACAGTGTCTTACTAGTAGGCCAGCTGGCTTCAAACTCGAAGAGATGCTCCTGCCTCTGCCTCCCTGGCAAATATTCTTAATTTTGTGCCTTGGTTTCTACCTGAGCATAAATGCACTCCTTCATCAGTTCTAGCAGGGACTTAGTGAATTCCTCAGGGTCCACTATGTGCCAGATCACATCATCCACAAATATCAATGGCTCACTTCTGGCTAACGTGGATGCTTTTCATTTGATTGTCTTGCCTTATTGTGAAGACTTAGCCAAACAGAGGGGCTGAATGTTGGATAGAAATGACAAGAGCAGGTGTCACATGTCACGACCTTTTCTGTGACCTCTGAAGGGAAGTACTGTTTCTTCCTTGTTGACTATGAGGCTAGGTGTGAGTTTTTATAGGTATGCATCATCAGACAGACAACCTAGTCTGTAAGTACTTGTGTGTGTGTGGGGTGTGTGTGTGTGTGTGTGTGTGTGTGTGTGAGAGAGAGAGACAGACAGACAGACAGACAGACAGACAGACAGACAGACAGACAGACAGACAGACAGACAGACAGACAGACAGACAGACAGACAGACAGACAGACAGACAGACAGACAGACAGACAGACAGACAGACAGACAGACAGACACACCGACCTCGGTGCTTTTCACTTTTGATATTTATTATCATTGTTCTTTGTTTTATGCTGGATTAAACCTAGCACAAAGGAAAAGGTCTACAAATTGATCTTGGGACCCAAGCAGTCCTCAGTGAGTGGCTCTGTCCATCAGAGACGTCTCCTTCTGCTTGTCCAGCATCCTTTCTCTCCAGCGTGGTTCTCCCGGCCCAGCTTTCTACACTGGTTGCCTGAGAGACTGGCACTTCCTTCAGCCTCAGTGTCCCACAGGTGTGGCGTCCCTACCCGCTGCCCCAGTGCAGCTCCCGCTCGCTCACGTCTTCTTTCTTCCGCCCTGGCTTCCAGGAACTCCTGCACTATGTAATCGGCACCCTGCTTCTGCTCATCGCCTCCATCGTGGCAGCCTCCAAGAGTTACAACCAGAATGGCCTGGTAGCGGGAGCGGTGAGATGTTTTTAGCAACCTTTCTCCCTGATAAGGGCCAGGGAAGAGGTTGATTTGGGGGCCTTTCTTCTTAGCACCATACCTACCTCAATCCAGCCAACCACTTTCTCCAAAGAGCCTGACACTTGGGATCTCGTCAGAGGGTCCAGGAAGGTAGACTTGAGGACAGTTGACAAACTTAAACAGCTCCAGCAGCAGCTGGGCCTACTCTCTACAGCCTGTCTCCCTTACAGCCACTGCTTACATCGGAGCAAACTGGTTTCAATCCCTCATGGCAGAGTGTGTGCTCTGCAGAGAAGTGTTTGGGCATCTTTTTGCTTCTAGAGGGAAGGGTACTGTGATCAGTTAGTGATGATGGCCATGAGTCTTTGTCTTTTCTTTTGAGTCTCACTGAATATCCCAGGCTGGCCTAGAATATACTACATATCCCAGAGATCCTCCTGCATCTGTCTCCTGAGAACTGGGGTTGGAGGCATGCATCACCCTGCTCAGATACCTTAAAAAAAAATACAGACTCTTACATAGCCAAGGCTGACCTCAAATTCATTTTGTAACTGAGGATGACCTTGAACTTCTGATCCTGCTGCCTCCACCTCCCCAGTTCTGGGATTACAGGTGTGCTCCACCCATGTCCATATTTTTTGCAGTGCCGGGAATTGAATCCTAGGTGGCCTGCGTGGTAGGCGGGCACTGTTCCAACTGAGCTTTGTCCCAGTCCCCATTTTTAGTTTGTCAGTATTCAGGTCTGGAAGGGGCACCCTTATCTCTTCCAGAGATGACAATGATCCCTCCAGTAACGTATACAGCTAGCTAGACTGTACAGAACACAACACTGTGGTACATATAAAAGTATACACACATATGAACGCATGGCTGAAACATTTTTAAAAGTTCCATAGATTCTTGTGGTCTGTCTGATATGTGATTTTGCCAACTTCACATCTGAGTGGTCTTTAGTCCAGTAACCAGGCAAGAATTTTTGTGTGTGTGTGTGTGTTTTAAGGCTTGGTCTCTTTAGACCCAGGCTGTCCTCCAACTTGAGATTCTCCTGACTCCAGTCCCCCGGTGCTAGGATCTAAGTGTGCAACACCTGGTTTATGTGGTACTGGGGAAGGAACCCAGGACTTCCTGCATGCTGGGCCAGCTCTCTACCAACTGAGTTAAGACTTTTTTTTTTTTTTTTTTTTTAAGATTTTATTTATTTATTCTATTTCCATGTATATCTGCACACCAGAAGAGGGCACCAGATCTCATAACAGATGGTTGTGAGCCCCATGTGGTTGCTGGAAATTAAACTCAGGACCTCGGGAAGAGCAGCCAGTGCTCTTAACCTCTGAGCCATCTCTGCAGCCCCCGAGCTAAGACTTTTAAATGAGTTTCACTTACAAATATCACCAGAATTCTCCAGACCGTGGATTGTCATCCAGTTTGCCCCTAGAGTTTCCCTTAGACTGACTCTGTGCTCAGGTGCACACAGTGGGAACCAAACATGACTGCGGGGGGGGGGGGGGCACATAAACAATGCTGCCCCATGGACCTTCAGCAGTGCTCCTCATGCTCCATGTGACCTCCAAGCAGACAGGTGGCTGCCACCTGCAGGTTGGTACCCGCCTGACAATAGTGCATGCTGGGGGAAGAGTGCAGGAACCCACACCCCCTGACCCAGTCACCAAACACACTGTGCTTCAGGGCACACGTGGAGGGATTCACACTGAGTTTTATAATCAGGCCACACATAAACTGTGTCAGCCCCAGTAGCTAACATTTATCACACCACAGGGAAGCCAGAAAAACAAAAAACAAAATGAGGTCCCTGTTCATGAGAAAGTAGCCCTCTAGCTTAGGGCCCATGTGACAGTTATGAAACAGACAGGCACTGTGGTGTAGACTAGCCTTCCGTAGGGATGTAATAATAAACTGTTGGACTGTGCAGTACAGACAATGGGAGGCGAGGCCTGGCTCTAGTGAGCTGATTATGTGGCTCAGACCATCTGCACAGAGACAGCCAAGGAGAAGGCTTTTGGACACAGGCTGCTGGGGACAGCCGGGTACCTAACCCAGGGACCTGGGCCTGGGAAGAACACCAAACCCTTTCGGAAGTCTACCCTTCATTGGGCTGCTCCTGGACCACACCTGTCCACTGTCAGCTGCAGACCAGTGCTACACTAGTGGGGACATGGTGACCCGAGGCCTTTGTGTGGGTCTGAGGACACCTGGGCCACAGGCTAGCAGAGCCTGAGTCCTGGAGCCCACTGCCAAGGGTCAGACCCTGTACCTGGCTCTGGTATGCTCGGGGGTCTTAAGCAAAAGTGGTAGCATCCTGTCCCTCTCCTGGCTTAGCTGTGAAACAGGAAGGGCAGGGGTGGAGCACCATCCTCACCTTAAGGGGCTGTAGTTTCAAGAGGCAGCTTCCCGGAGGCTTAGAAACCTGGCAGATGTGTAATTACTCCCCAGTGGCTACTGGAGGGGGTCACAGGTGGGTGCGTGGCCACCAGCTTCCTGGGTCCCAAGATACCAGGGCCATGATTGCTCTCCCTCAACCATCTTTGAAAAGCCTATTAGGGCAAGTTCAACCCTCCTCAAACCCAGCACTAGATGGACCTTGGAAAGGATAGGAGTCTGGCCCTAACTTACTTTTACTGTTCTTATTTAAATATGTGCAGACAGCCAGGCATTGGTGATGCATGCCTTTAATCCCCTTGGAAGGCAGAGGCAGTTGGATCTCTGTAAGTTCGAGACCAGCCTGGTCTACAGAGCGAGTTCCAGGACAGGCTCCAAAGCAACACAGAGAAAGCCTGTCTTGAAAAAAACAAAAACAAAAACAAAACAAATATGTGCAGACATAAAGCTGAACTCCAAGGCCTCGGCTTTTGGCTCTTCCATGGCTATAAAGCTGGCAGAGACCAGAGGCCAATGAAACCCAATGACGCTAGCCATATAATGTGCTGGAATGTTCCAATTTTTAAATCCAAATTAAAATTTATAATACCACCTCTCTCGTTTTTTTATTGGTTCTGGATCATCAAAGTCCAGTGGCTTGGCCCCAACTAAGTTATAAATATAAACCCAAGCCAGGGGCCAGAATTACCTAAAGCAATAAGGACAAGGCCACAGACCCAGAGGCCTGGCTCCTGGGCCTGAACAGGGGACCAGAAGTCCAAGGATGGATCTTTCCAAACGTCCCCCCTGCAACTGAGTACAGACTAGGGAGCTAGGTGAAATGGCTCCCCAGCTTCATTCCCAGGACACAGAAGAAAATGAGAGATGGCTGAGCTTCCTTTCCTCTCCCATTGTAGGTCTTTGGGTTCCTGGCAAGTTTCCTCTGCCTGGCAAGCTTGTGGCTGTCCTACAAGATCACTTATATAACCCAGACAGGTAAGCACCGGCCATCGAGATGCAGGCACACAGGTGGGAGGTTTGTCCTTGGCTCAGCAAGTAAAGTTGGAGGGCAGGGCACAGAAGGAGGGAGGGTGGGACCTAAGGACCCCGCCTGCCTTCCTACCCATCTCTACAGGGATACATCCTGGGATACTCTCTGTATGACCGAGTATGACCTTGAACTCCTGATCCTTTTGCCTCTGCCTCCCAAGTTCTGGGATTCTACAAGCATTTCAAACTCTTACAAAATGTAGGCAAAGTTTTCATTGTTTTGTTTTTTTCTTAAGCAAAGTCTCATTATGAAGCCCAGAGTAGGTTTGAACTTGCAATCTTCCTGCTCCAGCCTCCAAAGCAATGAAATTATAGGGGGCATGGCGGTACGTGCCTTTAATCCCAGCACTGGGGAGCAGAGACAGGTGGATCTCTGTGAGTCCAAGGCCAGCCTGGTCTACATGGCTTGTGTCATGCCAGAGTGAGACCCTATCTCAAAACACGGAACCATGCCTGCCTTTTACTCCATCATCGTCATGTGCCAGACGTTTTCCTGGTGTCTGCAAGAATTCTCAATCTTTATTTTATTTTTCAGTGATGGGGATGCTCACCCTTTTTCCTACTCAGTTGGGGGGTTTGGTTTTAATTTTTTTTGTTACTGAGTACTGCTACAATGAATGCCCTTACAAATTAACCCTGCTATATGTCCTCAATGGTTTTTACTGGCTTTGAACTTTTGGCAGCCCTCTTGCCTCGATTTCTCAAGTGCTAGGTTTACAAGTGTGTACCACCACACGAAATAAGCCGTGTTCTTGTGACATTATGGGGCTGGTGGTAAATGCTTGTGATCCCAGTAGTTAGGGTTGCAGCAGGGAGATCCAAAGTTGAAGGCCATCAGACTACACTTTACGATCACACAGAAACATTAGACTTCAAAAAGCCCAAACCAACACAACTGTTTTGATTAATTCACTCTTTTCTTCAAGCCACGACTTACTTTTTCTTTCTTTCTTTCTTCCTTTCTCTCTTTTTTAATATTTAAGTGAGGGGTGGGGGGCTTCTGTGTACAGGAGAGGGTATTTGATCCCCTGGAACTGGAGTTATAGACAGTTGTTACCCACCTGGCATGGGTGCTGGGAACAGAACGTGGGTCCTCTCGAGGAGAATGAGCAGCAGGTGCCCTTCACTGGGAAGTCATCTCTCTGCTCCCCTCTTTCTTTCCTTTTTAGAAAACATATTTAGAGGGCTGGGGTTCAGTCAGTACAATGCTTGCTACAGAACAGAAGAAGCCCATGGCTTCAGGGTGATTTCTGTTCCTGGGAAGGTAACCTACCTTTCCATTTCTCTCTCAAGATGCATCTGCCTGACAAGGCCATCGCCCTCTGTTCCCTCAAAAGGGCCTGCAGGATGCAGGCTCATCCCAGGAGGACCCCAGGCATGGTTATGGACTGCTCAGGTGACAAGGCCTGTACCTTCCCTGGCTTGGCCAGGACACTGGGCTCCTGAGCATCAAGCAGCTCCAGCCTCCTTCCAGCCTGCCACAGAGGACACTCCTCCACTCTGGGCTCTTAGCACAGACACTCAGGTACCAAGGACTGCACTGAGTACAGTGGAGAGACTTCTGGATCCACCTGCATAGACGACCCGCCTTTGTTCATACCCCTCAGGACCAGAGTCCTCATGGAAGCATCGGAGCCCAATTTATCTGGCCTATCTATCAATCTGGTCTTGAAGAGCCTCTGTCCTAAGTGAGGAGCCAGCAGAAACACTATATGGCCACTCTGTTTCTCCGGTCCCTTTCTCTGCCTTTGTCGTGGTGTGTGTGTGAGTGGGAGAGTGTGGTTTTTAATAAAACATCAGTCAACTGCAGCAGGCTTTTTTATCAAATGAGATGTCTGTAACACTAGGCCTTTCTGTGCCAGTTTGTGTCTGTTACACATTCAACCCCTATGCTCTGTATGTATTCCATGCTAAATGCCTTATCTCCCCTTTCTCCCTCCCAGGCTGCCTTCAAACTGAACTGTAGCTGAGGATGACCTTGAACTCCCGATCCTTGTGCCTCTGCCTCCCTGGTGCTGAGATTACAGCTGATCCAGGAAACGCAGCTTCGTGTGATGCTGAGGATGGAACCCCGGGCTCCATGCAACCACTTTACCAACCGAGCGACATCCCCAGCCACACACACACACACACACCATCCCCATTTGTTGGGAGGATCTTATGTAGTCTGGGTTGGCCTTGAAATTGCTTTGCAGGCAAGGGTGGCCATTTAACTCCTGATCCTCCAGTCTCCAGCTCCCAAGCACTGGGCTTCTAGCTGTGTACTACCACGTCCAGCTTTGACTTTTAATTTCCTGGACCTTAAATTCTCTCCAAGTTAGGACATTTCCATGAGTGCACTGGGACAATGTGAACACAGGACAGAACCCTTGTAAGAATCTGGTGGTGCTGGGAAGTGGTGGCGCACACCTTTAGTCCCAGCACTCAGGAGGCAGAGGCAGGAAGAGGTCTCTGAGTTCCAGGCCAGCCTGGTCTACAGTGTGAATTCTAGGACAGCCAAAGCTACACAAAGAAGCCCTGTCTTGAAACATCAAGACAACAACAAAAGTCTGGTGAGTTACTGGGTGAGTCACTGCATATGACAGGGACACCAACAGAAGCCGAGAGGAGTCAGAGTGACAGAGTAGGTTGAGGATGTTGTAGTGGCCACTGTGCTGTGGGCCAGCAGGCTGATGCAGAGGGACAAGACTGGAGCCCAGGCCTTGATCCCCCAAGGTGCCCTGGGTGTGCTGACCAGCTCCATCCAAGAAAACAGAGATGTGTTGCAAGGGAGGAGTCTGCGGGTCTGGGGGCTGTGTGCGGGTCTAGGGGCTGTGTTAGAACAGTGAGACCCAGGCCCCAGGCACACCATCACCCACGGCCTCGATGTGTTCTGCATTGCGGAGTCCTGCTGGACTGGAAGAGCCCTGGGTATGAGTCTGATGCCCTGGGTATGGGCATCACTAGGGGAGAAGGAGCGGAGAAGTGTGGCCAAGTAGCAGCTTTTTGAAGTGGCCTGTTAGCCATCACTGGATCCCAGGCCACCTCCCTACCTGGCATGGCAGCCCACACCTGTAACCCCAGCCCTGTGGAGGGTAGAGACAGGAGGATCATGACCAAGGTCATCAGCTACATATAAAGTTCAATGTCACCCTGGGCTAAATGAGCTCCTAATTTAAAAAACAAACAATCAATCACAGAGCAACAGCAACAAAACAAGAGCCAGGAGGAGAGGTGGCACACACCTTTAATCCCAGGACTTGGGAGGCAGAGACAGAGGGATATTTATGAGTTCAAGGCCAGTTTGGTCTACACAGCAGGTTCCAGGACTACATAACAACAAAGAGAGCCTTCCCCTGCCTCCTGCTGGTTCACTTTTCAAACGACAGCCTAGCCGCAGCTAGGTGGGGCCAAGTGTGCATGTGCAGCCTGCCCAGTCTTCCCCAGCAGCCCCAGGGTCCTGAAGATGAGGTCATGGCTGGGCTGCCTCTATACTGCACTGTGGTCAGCATTTTCTGGGCCTGACTGGGCTCTGGAGGGGGAGATAAAGTAGGAGGCTGTGGATGGCAAGCGTCTGCTACAAACAAGTTCTGTGCTGCTCAGAAAGGTTCTGGCATTGGCTGCCTTTGAGGCCCTTCAGGGAAGGCAACAAGCCCAGGACAGACTAGCAGTAGGCCTGCAAGGCCCAAGAAGGAAGCTGGAAGGACATGAGATTGACACCAAGTCTGGCTATCTCCTGAGCCCAGACAGGACAGCACAGTCCCAGCCTCTTCAAGAGCAGCTGGCCAAAAGTGGGGAACAGAGACTCAGAGTCTGCTCACACTGGGGGGCCCAAGGTGTCTGCTAACATGAGAGACCAACTTCACATTTAGCAGGTCTTTAGGGCCCTGCTCAACACTACTACCCCCCTCTTTTGGTGGCTGAGTCATGTCCTATTAACCCAAAAAGGCACTGCAGGGCTGCAGATGTTACCTAGGGCTAGAGAGACAACTCAGTGCTTAAGAGCATTGGTCGAGAGATGCAGAAGACCTGGTTCCATTCCCAGCATGCACATGGTGGCTCACTGCCATCTCTAACTCCAGTTTCTTCCAGGGCATCCAACACCTTCCTCTGGCCTCTTCAGACACTGCATGAATGTGGTGCAGACACACATGCAGGCAAACACTCACACATAAAAATAAGTCTTAAAGAGAAATGTGGTATTATCGCCTTACAGTTCATATAGGCCAGCCACGGGAGCAAACACCAATGGTGCAAACCTCTCCATGGGCACCCCATCCTGTCTAGGCTTTGGGGGATGCTGCCCTCGGCATGGCCTCCCTGTACCACGGTGAGGCATGGCTGTGGAGATCCTCCACCGGCTCCCAAGCTCACCAAGACCAACCCATCACAAACACACATCTGCAGCCACAAGGCAGCTAGCTCCTCAGGCAGAGCCCTGCCTTGTTTCCTTCTTCCCTTTTTCTATTATAAGATGGGGTCTCTATAGCCCAGGCTAGCCCTCAACTCTGTACATACCCAAGGAGGCCCCTGAACTGCTCATCTTCCTGCCTCCGAGTACCAGATGCTGGGGCTACAAGTGTGATGCACACATCCTCTGTTCTCATCAACTAGCGTGACAATAAGCTGATGTTGTTTGTATTGGTCATGGATGTTTGTGCTAGATCCCCTATTTTATATAATAAATTTGCGAGAATAAACTGAACTGAAAAGAGGGGGTATTTTTGCTGTTTAAAAAAAAAAAAGTTTAGTGCTAGAGATGTAGCCCAGCATGCAAAAAACTCTCTGCACAAACAGGACATGGTGGTACATGTCGTAATCCTAGCAAGGCCAAAGTCGAGGCAGGGGGATGAGGAGTTCAACCAAGGTCAGGTGGGGATTGGTGAATCCTTATCAAAAACAAAAACAAAGGCAGGTGTGATGAAACTCCTGTATTCAGGATGCTGAGGCAGCAAGATGAGAAGTTTGAAGCCAGCATGAGCTACATAAGTAAGAAAAAAAAAGTAATAAATAAATAAAAAGGTACAAATAAATTTTAAACATGTTTTCAAGTTTGTAAGCCCACAGGATGAAAGATGTTGCTAGAGCACCAGGCGGGTGGGAAGGGTGGCCAGCTCCAAGAGGTTTTCCCTCAGTAAGACCACCAGAAAATACTCGCTGTCTCCTGGGAAGTTGGGACAATCGATGGGTTCCTTCCTATGTGTCTAGAAAAACTGCAAAAAACAAAAATATTCTCCACATACACTTGCACAAAAAGGATCCGGCTACCACGAGGGCAGGAGTGCCGTCTGGATCAGTCAGGGCTCTCTAAGACCTGACCGACCCTGACCCTGTCTGCTGGGTGCTGTGCTCCGGAGGTGGCAGCTGGCCCAGGGTTGCCACCTGCCAACCGCTCAGTGCTGCCAGATGCCCCAGTGACCCAGAAAATTAGAAATCTGGGCTTTCTGGCTAAGCATCTCCCGATCTTGAAACGTTGCCAAAGAAACCTTCTAGAAACACAGCTGAGTCCCAACAAAACCTGTGTGGGGGCAGATGTAGCCAGTGCGCGTGTCCTGGCAGTTCTGGGGTAAAGTGGGGAAGTCAATCAAGGCGAGGCCCGGGGTAAAGTGGGGAAGTCAATCAAGGCGAGGCCCGCAGGGCTGCCAGCTGTTTCCTCTCGCAGCCGCGCAGGGCGGAGACCTCCCATGGGATCCGTCCCCACCCGCGGCTGTGCATGCTTGCAGCAACCTCTCCTGCCAACAGCACTCTGCATCCCAGTTGCAGAAACGAAACTCCATGAGGAGGTGGAGGCCAAGGCCTTGAGCCCACTTGCAGCGCGCGCCCCCTAGCGGTCAGCGGGACGCAGTGCCGCCCCGGCCCCGCCAGAGCAGTAACCGAGGTTTAGACCTAAGGGCGCAATACATTTTTTTTTTTTTTTTTTTTTTTTTTTTTTTTTTTTTTTGGTTTTTCGAGACAGGATTTCTCTGGAGGCTGTTCTGGAACTAGCTCTTAAAGACCAGGCTGGCCTCGAACTCACAGAGATCCACCTGCCTCTGCCTCCCGAGTGCTGGGATTAAAGGGGCGTGCGCCACCAACGCCCGGCGGCGCAATACATTCTTACAACGTGATTAGTCATAGTCCTCAACACTGGACATGCGCTAACCACTGGTCTCTCCCACTCTTCCCTCCCTCCCCTTCCTTCCTTCAGATTAATTTCTTTACTATGTAGAATCAAGAAAACAGCCAACTATTCTATAACTACTTGGCATTAGGAACAGAAGTGATAGCTCTCCCTCTCTCTCTCTCTCTCTCTCTCTCTCTCACACACACACACACACACACACACACACACACACACACGGTTTATCAGAGTGGCTTACAGGCTGTGGGCCCAGGCTTAGCCAGGTTCTCGGGGTTTACTTGGTTCCAGACCTAGCAGAGGTGACAACCACGATTAGCCACCACTACATGCTTTTCCCCTCACACCCGCCTTTCCCTTCTCCCCATCACATCCAGAGCTACCAATCAGCACACAGTTGCTTTTCTTACGCTGGTTCCACTATGGCTATATTGCACTCTGAAAGCGCTTGAGACTGAGTTCATATGTCAGTGGGGACACCACTGTGCAACCCTTGGTGACTTCACCTGTCATTATGCAACGTACATTTTTTATTCCATTGGCCTGACACCACACACCTTCTCTCCCACACCCTTGTTTGTTTGTTTTTTTGTTTGTTTGTTTTAAGATAGGGTCTCAGCCAGCAGGTAGATCTCTGTGAGTTTGAGACCAGCCTGGTCTACATAGTGATTTCCAGGACAGCCAGAGCTATATAGTGAGACTGTCTCAAGAAGGAAAAAATAAAAGATAGGGTCTCACTCTGTACCCAAGGCTGTCCTGTAACTCTATGTATCGCACAATGCTGACCTTGAATTCATAGTGATCCTCTTACCTCAACCTTCCAAATGCTGGGATTTTACGTGTACACCACCATGCTGGGGGCTCCTTCGCCTCTCTTAGTTTTAAGAGATTTATTATTTTCATTTTGTGCGTATGAGTGTTTTGCTTACATATATATGTGTGCCCATACGCATGCATAGTGCCTGCAGAAGCCAGAGCTCGGTGTCAAATGGCCTGGAACTAGAGTGACAAGCAGCTGTGAGATAGCATGTAGGTGATAGCATGCTTGTCACCCCATCCATCACTTGGGAGGTGGGAGCAGGAGGACTGGAAGTTCAAGTTCATTCTACTACTTATACTTAACAAGCTCACTCCAGGTGAGCCTAGGATACACGAGACAACATACAAGTAGTCAAATGAAAAACAAAAAAAAACCGTTTTTAAAGGGCTGCTGAATTCATTCAGCAGATAAAGGCATTTGCTGTGAATGCAGCCCACCTGAGTTGGATCCTGACCTCCCATGGGTGGAGAGCCCCCACTCCCACAATTCTGACCTCTATCAGCACTGTACCACGCATGAACGGAAACATAATGTTAAAATAAGTTGGGGTTACTCACTGCCTTTTTTTGTTGTTTTTTTTGTTTGTTTGTTTGTTTGTTTTTCGAGACAGGGTTTCTCTGTGTAGCTTTGGAGTCTATGCTGGCACTCGCTGTGGAGACCAAGCTGGCCTTGAACTCACAGAGATCCCCCTGCCTCTGCCTCCCGGGTGCTGGAATTAAAGGTGGGCGTTGGTGGCGCCACTCACTGCCTTTTAAAGCTGCCTTTATTAAAAACAACTTTCTGAGCCGGGCGTTGGTGTCGCATGCCTTTAATCCCAACACTCGGGAGGCAGAGGCAGGGGGATCTCTGTGAGTTCAAGGCCAGCCTGGTCTCCAGAGAGAGTGCCAGGATAGGCTCCAAAGCTACATAGAGAAACCCTGTCTCGAAAAAACAAAACAAAACAAAAACAAAACAAAAAAAAAAACAAAAAAAAAAAAAACTTTCTGAGTGGTGGTGGTACACATCCTTAATCTCAGCATTTGGAAGGCAGAGCCAGGTGGATCTCTGAGTTCAAGACCAGCCTGGTCCAGGAGTGAGGTCCAGGACAGCCAGGGCTACACAGAGAAACCCAGTCTCAAAAATAAAAAAACAAAACCTAAAACTCTATGATGCCCATTACTTGTGGGCATCTCAGGGCAGCCGGTACTGCAAGTGTGTGTGTGTGCTGACACACGTGCATGAGAACACATATGCACATGGGTGTGGAGACCAGAAGAAACCCATGTTCCTTGGGACCCGTCCACCTTTTGTCTTCTCCCTGGAGCTCATCAAGCAGGCTACACTGGCTGGTCAGAAACCTCAGGGATCCACCTCCCTGTGTCTCCCCAGTGCTCCAGGTGCCACCACACCCAGCTCTGTGTTGGTTCTGGGGTTCAAGCTCAAGCAATTAACTGACTGGGCCATCTCATCTCCCTGGTCCTTAACGAATGCTTTATAAACTGGGGGTTTGGCTTCTCACCAGTGCACCCCGATGTTTGTTTTCTCCTCACTCTAATGTGATAATTCCTTCCTCTGCCAGCAGGACCAATTTTGGTAGGTACTGGAAGCTGAGAAGCTTCAAGGCCAGGTATTTTCACACCATGCTGGCCGAGAGTGGGGGGTGGGGAAGGGCTGGATTACATTAATCCAGTCACTGTGCATTCGTCATAGTCAGCATAACCTTGATTCCTCAGTGAGATGAGCCAGGCTCTCTAAGGGCTCAAGGGAAAGGAACACCTGGAGGCAGGAGAATAAACAACCCTTCTCACCTTTCCTGTGAGCAATGGTGTCTAGGTAGAAAACCCTGGACACAAGTTGGTCTGGGTTGATAATATCAAGCCACTGAATTTCCCAGGCTGGTCTCCAACTCCTGGGCCCAAGAGATCCCCTGCCTCAGCCTCACAAGCAGCCTCAGGGACTAAAGATGAGACCAGCCTACTCTTACTGTTGAGGACACTGCAGTAGGTTTTCTCTCTTTGCAGCTAGCTGCATTATATACACAATGTTCTTTATCAACATAAAACGAAAAATCCTGCAGAATGTACAAATTCCAGTGAGTTCCTGATGACTATAAAGATCCTGTTATTCTCTAGGGACTGGAGGCAGGAATTTTACACTCCACAAATAGTTCTGACTCAGCAGAACCTCCCAGATTTGCTTCCCACTGTCTAGTTACCAAGCTGGCCCAAACAGATACAGCTCTCTCTCTACAGCTCCAGAGCCACATCTAGAGTGCCAAGTGGAGCTCAAACTCGCTTCCTTCGGGTTACTTATGTGGAGTCAGCAAACATCCATGATACCAGAACATGGGAAACAAAGGCAGAAGGATCAGGAGTTCAAAGACAGCCTCATCTACACCAGCCTGGGCTACATGAGACCCTGTCTCAAAAAAAAAAAAAAAAAAAAAAAAAAACAGAAGGGAAAGGAGAGGAGAGGGGAAAGGAAGAGAAAGAGGCGGCAAAAGTGATTTAAAGCCATGTAGTGCTGAACATTCTTTTACAACCCATCCCATGTGATGCCCTAAAAATGTCTTTGTTTATCTGGCTGGCCTGGAACTCACTATAACTCTGACTGGCCTTGAACTTATAGAGATCTGCCTCTACCACAGCTGATCCTAAGAATATTTTCACTGGGGCTGGAGAGATGGCTCAGAGGTTAAGAGCACTGACTCTTCTTCCAGAGGTCCTGAGTTCAATTCCCAGCAACCACATGGTGGCTCCCTACCATCCGTTATGGGATCTGGTGCCCTCTTCTGGTGTGTAGATATACATGGAAGCAGAATGTTGTATACATAATAAGTCAATAAAATCTTTTATAAAAAGAATATTTTCACTACTTCAAAGGCCAGGTTGACCTGAAGTGGTGATCTTCCTGCCTCAGCCCCAAGTGCTGGCACTAGAGGCCCCTGTGCTGCCATAGGAGACAAGCATGCATTGAGTATGTCCTCTCCCTCTCCAGAGGGCAGCAGGTTCGTTCCTCCAGACCCCTACGGACAAAGACATGGACACGGACACAGACAGCTAGCCCCCTCAAGTGAGGGGCTTATCTAAACTAGTCTCTGCAATGAACAACTGTGAAGACATCAAGACATCCACACTGTAATTAAGAGAGTTTATTTTAAAAGATTATAAAAGTTATATTAAGAGTGATAAAAAAGACCCACAGGTTTTAAATCAACAAATACAAAAGTGATCAGATATAAGCAATGTAAACATACATTTCCCAGTCCCCACATAAAGCATAATTTAAGTATAGTAATTATAGAAGTCTTGTGCTATATTTCCCTTCTAAGTCTCAAAACTCATTCTAAACAATTTGTATAAAATACAGCAAATCAAATTTGCTAGAGCTGCTAATAAAGACATCTTTTCTGTGTTGACAGTCTCTGGTCCCAGCTCTTGTTGAGCTGATTTGGTGCCACAGTCTTTAACCCCATCACACCATCCCCCCACTCCCCAGAGGATGCAGAAGTCAACCAGTCACAGATCCCCCAAAAGAGAAAGTTCTAATAGTGACCAAATTATCTTCTTACAAGGAAGAAATGGAGTAGTCAAGGAAGCCCTCAGCTGTGGAACAAAGCAAACCCACAGTAAACAACTAGATGCTAAGTTCTGCATGTGTGGAGACAGGCCAGAGTACGTCTGTCCATCCTCAACAAGCCCAACACTGGCAAAGAGGTGCACTGTTGGGATGAGTTGTTCCCAAGGCCTGGGTGGCACTACTGAGAGATGGCAGAAACCCTCAGAGGTGGGACCTGGTGTGAGGTCTTAGGTCAGTGGGGCGTACCCTCCAAAGGGAACTCAGGACCTCAAGTCACACCCACCCACTCATTCCTCGCTTCCTGGATGCACAGCATGAGCAGCCTACTCTACCAAGCCCCAACCATGATGTACTGCCATCTAGCAGAACAGGACTGACCATGGGCTGAAGCTTACAAAACTGCAAGCAAGACAAACCCTCTTTTTTCTTTTTCTTTCTTTCTTTCTTCTTTTTTTTAAAGATTTACTTTATGTATGTGTGAATGTATGCCATACATGTTTGGGTGCCAGAGACCAAAAACACTGGGTCCCCTGGTGGTAGAGTATCAGGCAGTAGAGAGCCATCCCATGCTGGCACTGGAGAACAGAACTCAGTCCTCTGAAGAGAAAGAAGCAGCACTCTTAACCTCTGAGCCATCTCTCCAGGCCCAACCTTTCCTCTTGTAAGTTGACTGTCACAGGTATTTTGTTACAATACCAAACAGCTGACTAATAGTTACACTAAAGCTGCCCTGATTTGCTGTTAATTCTCAACAGGTCTAGATGATAGTTCCAGACCATAGCACAGCTTGATGTAAAATTCTAAAATTGTCTGCTATAAACTGGTTCCTTTTGAATTATTCTATTCTTGGTTTCAAGAGCCTACTGTCCTTTCTCTTAGATGGAATGCCCAGTGAGGCAACATCCATGATTGGTTTCATGATCTCCCAAGCAGGTAACCCAGCAGATCAGGCAGTGAGTCAGTAACAGCAGATTCATCCACTTCTGAGAACTGTAATAGCCTCACTCATGTAACCAAAACCATCTACCATGTACAATGGCAGACAAGAAACTGAAAAGGAGGGGGAACTTCACAGAAAATCCCTGGAAACATGATCGCACGTCTTCAGAGAGAAACCCCAGCCTGGGAAACCTCCACTAGGGCAGAGGCCTTGACATATCCGAGTCTCAGTCAAACCTCAGAAGGAAGACAAGAAAGAAAGGTTCCCTTTGGGCACACAGGTGCCCCAGTGGCTCTAAGATAGCCTTGCAGCAACAAGCAATCCTTCCAAAGCATGGAACAGTCTGTAGCCTCCTTATACTACCAACAGTATTCACTAGCAGGGGCTCTAGGATCCGCTTTCTCAAGACACCTCCCCTGGAGAGAAACTCAAGCAGAGGCCTGTGGGAACAAGAATCTATCTGATCGACATTCCTGCCTCGTTTGGTGACAAGGAGAGCACAACACTCTGGCCAGCCTGGAGATAGCTGACAATGAACTAGAGTGAGGAGACAAGGGAAAGAGCAAGAGTGAAGGCTTCCTCTGAAGATGGTGATGCGGCCCAGCGACCATCGAGACTCAGGTGGGTGAGCAAGCCCACCAGGACTCTGAGGAGAAGCCTGCAGAGCAGTGTGCCCTTGAGCAGGAAGGACCGCCTGCCAGGAGGGAGACCCAGTTCCCAACTCACAGGATGAACCATCAACTGTCTGTTTCTGTGTATGCACACAGCATAGTTACCATCAACTGTGTTTCCGTGCGTGCACGCAGCAGTCACCATCCATTGTTTCTGTGTGTACACACAACACAACCACCATCAGATGTTTCTGTGTGTGCACACAGCACAACCCTCCACTCACTGCCAGGTGGTGAAGGCCTATCTGTGCAATTATGTCCCCTGGACAGGACACAGAGTCTATTCTATCTTTGGTCTTTAGATGTAGTATCAGTTTCTTCAATTTTTCTGTATTCTGTAACAGTCTTTTTTCTTTTAAACTTAATCTTAACAACCAGAGTGCAATGTAAAAACCAAAGGCGGCTGATACTGTTGCTTTTATACACATCACCACCACTATGCATTTTCTGTTAGGCAATGCATGGATCAGAAAGAACAAAAATAACTGCCTTTGGGAGTCAGCACATAAGTGTAAGGCTGAGTGAGATAAAGACAAGGGTTATTATTAGGGAAGGAAGCCTGCACCGACACCTTAAACACAATTAAATCTCCAACAACAGAACAGAATTTAACCAGCAAAAACTAATAGCAAAGCAAATGACTTTAAAATGAAACAGTTCCGGAAAGGATGGAGAATGAACGGTCTGGAAGCTAACCCTGGTGTAGCCTGTAGCAAACAACAGACATGCAATTCACAGACCACAGTCCTTGTCTTTAAAAACAAACAAACAAACAAACAAACAAACAAACACCACCACAACCTCCTCCATTTAAGGTAAGTTCCAACAGTTACTAAACTCCTCTGAGCTTTAACTGGCAGGGCTGCCACCCCGCAGTTGCAGTGAGAAGCCGCCCTCCTGTCCCTTCCCTTCTCTCCAACAGACGAGGTGCACACACGACACAGGTCCCACGGAAGGAGCACTCCTCTGGTCTGCAGCGCCTGCTCCTGACCTAAGCATTGAGCGGCTCGGTGAGGGCTTCAGCCCTGGCGTTGTTCTCAGGCTTTCTCAGCTGGCTCTCTTGCCGTTTCTCACAGAGCATGACCACAAAGTCTAGTAGGAACATCAGACTTGCTATAAACCCAAACACCTGGGGAAAAAAAGGGGGGAGTTAGATGAGGGAGTGCGGGGTACAATCACATGTGCTACTCAGCCTGCGAGTCTATATCCATTCCACATCATAACCACTTTCTTAAAAACACGTTTTGTTTTTACCTACATGCATGTGTTTGTCTGAGGGAATGAATTCCACATGTGTGGGGGTTCGTTTGGCGGCCTAAAGAGATCACAGGGTCCCCTGGAAGAGCAGCAAATATTTATTCTAACTCCAGCCCCACACTTACTATTCTTTAACAGAATTTAAAATTCATTAAAAGAGGAAAAGAAGTGACAGAAAAATTTCCAGAGTAACAGATACTATTCAAAGTCCCACAAGACACAAACACCAGTTCTCCTGTTGTGTGGTGCTAGGCACAGAGGCCAGTTCTCCTGCATGCTAAGCAAGCACTCGACCACAGAGCTGCAGGCCCAGTCCCAGGCGTAGGTGCTGTCAGTTGGAAGAGACGGCAGCCCAGGAAGAGATCTGGTCTCCCTGCTCCTGTCTCCATAGCTACTGCACAAGTCCCCAGTCCCACCCCCTCTACCTGACACCTCCAAGCGATAGTCCCTGTAGGACAGCCAGGAGTCTCCTCGCATGCTATCTACCTCCTCTGGAAACTTATGAAAGGAATTCCCTGCATTCCCAGCTGGAGTTATTTAAAAACCACTTTCCCATCTCTGCTTCCCAGCTAAACCCTGGTGCGTGATAGACAAGCTAGCTGACTCCAAACACAACTCCCATGTGGCAGGAAGGAGGGAGAGTTTCTAGCTGTCACTCAGAAGAGACCCCCAATCCTAACTGAGGCAGGCTGCCTCCACCTCCACCTCCACCAGCAAGAGACACTAGAAATTCCTGTTAGCCTAGGAAATCACAAGGCTGGCATGGAGACTGAACTTCAACCCACACACCTCTCTCCCTTCCTAGGTGCTGTTTTCGAATCCTCTCCTGAAGAAAAACAAAAGCTGAAAGGGCTCAGATATTGGGGTCCAAGGTGACAATGAAGTGGATTTATTACAAGGGTTATGAATGCAATGGAAAAATGGGGGCTGTGAGAAGAGTGAGTCCTACAAGGCAGAGTGTGAGTGGCTCCCTATAGGTTTCAGGAGGAGGAAGTTGTATGCTCGTGGGTGAACAACAGTCCATAGTATGTGCTTAGAGTCCAGCTGTCTCTGATTCTTGTGTGGCAGGACAGGAAGGGGAGAGCTGTGTGACCTTCAGGATGTCCCTGTCTCCTCTCTGGGGGGGCCAGAAAAATCATCCGGGAGCATTTTACCCATTAAACCTGGGCTTTTCCTCATTCACTTTGATTTCGTTTGATTTGTTTGCTGTGTCAGTGGAGAGGCTTAGTGGGTACAGAAACTTTTCAGGGAGGAGGGGCTCCAAGAGAACAAACCTCTGGCCCAGATTGGGAGGCTGTTACCTTTTTGGCATCTATTAAAAAGGCCACACATGTACCGGTCTTGGCCCTTCTGAACTGGTAGAAGCTCTTCCACACACATCCAAGGCAGCTGACGTAGTAATGGAGATCTGTTGTTTGTTTTTTGTTTTTCTATTTTTCAAGACTGGGTTTCTCTGTGGCTTTGGAGGCTGTCCTGGAACTAGTTCTTGTAGACCAGGCTGGTCTCGAACTCACAGAGATCCGCCTACCTCTGCCTCCCAAGTACTGGGATTAAAGGTGTACGCCACCACAGCCCAGCTAGTAATGGCAATCTTAAAATAGTACCCAAACGGGCTTCCTGCCTCCTTGAACACTGACAATGGCCCTGCACACACACACACCTCACGTCAGACAGGGACTCTGCAAAGCTCTCCCCATGACCAGGAAGTCACGGGTCCTGTACAGGCCTCCATCATCAGGTAGAGTGAACGGAGAGATGAATGGCCTTACGCAGAGCACTGTACTAACAGTACAAAGGTGAAGCGACCGCAGCAGCTTCCTCCCTACCATGCATGCTCAGCACCCCAGGTCCACATGGCCTAAGTCCTTTCTGACTGGCATACGGAAGCTTCCTGTGTTAGGTGACTCTCCCTTCCCCACACAGCCCTAGGTGATCACATCCACTCTGTCACACGCCCACCATTCCTAAGGCACATTGCTAACAACCATCTACCAAAGCCTTCCTGACTCACCATCTCTCCCCATCCACCTGGGGAACGAATCCTACTTAAAAATCCTCTCCTCTAAGCCCCTCTACCCAGCTTGGCCCTTCTCACCCCAACTGCTGCTGGATTACTGGGTCTTAGCTCTTAAAATCACTTTTCCAGGTTAAAGCAGGCTCAGAGACCACAAAAACAAGCACCCTGTGTTAAATCCAGACACCAGCCCAACTCTTGGCTTCACCCTGGGGAATAGCTAGCTCTCAGCTAGCCCCCTGACCTGCTGGAGGACCTCAAACTCTTACTCAAAAATCAACCAGATGAAGCCATTTCCTCCCGGAGCCCTCCCTGCCTCTAACACGGGAGAGTTCCTCCAAACTCCTCACTGGGCTCTGGAGACAGCCACACCAACCACAATGGTGTGGTCGGCACAGCTGACTGCAGACCAACTTTACGGGCGTCACTAGGTGAGACTATGTTCTCTGTCTATCCCCGTATCCTTGGCCTACTCTCACAAGCAAGGTATACCTCCCCTCCTTTACTCTCTCTCTCTTTGCTTCCCATGCCTGTGCAGTCTCCATTAAAGAGGTCCCTCTCTTATTCCTCCCTGCTGACCTAGGGAGACTCACTCTGGTTCCAGACACTGCTATTCTGACAGAAAGCCTCAGACTTACAGGATACATAGATCTAAAACATGTCCTACTTTCCCAGACTTACAACTCAAGAGTCCCCATTGCCAGGCCCATCTACCACAATACTTCTCTGGTGACCCATGTACCCTCTACTTTACCAGAGAAGCCATCAAGGGGGCACTAAAGCAGGACATTTAGATCCCTCACTGTGCAAGCTTACCATAACTGTCTCCTCCCCACTGAGCTAAGTATCTACCTCCTGGCTCTGATAGGGGGATGTCTTTCTGTATGCTGTGAATGTATGTTTTTCTTATTGGTTCATGAATAAAAGCTGATTGGTCAGTAGCCAGACAGGAAGTATAGGAGGGACTACAGACTAGGAAAACCCTGGGAAGAAGAAGGCAGAGAGAGGCCACCAGAGAGACGCCATGTAGCCACCACAGAGTAACATGCCAGAGCATTAGGGGGAAGCCACAGCCTCCTGGAAATACATAGTTAATAGAAATGGGTTAATAATTAAGAGAAAGCTAGCTAATAAGAAGCCTGAGCCATCGGCCAAACAGTTTATAATTAATATAAGCCTCAGTGTATTTTAATATGGACCGAATGGCTGTGGGACCAGGCGGAATAGAAACTCCGTCTGGTCACCATACTATCAGGGATACCCAAAGCCACACACCTGTCTCTTTCTATGGCTGCCTCAAGATGAGAAGTCCATCTAGCCAGTAAGAAGGTCGCCCCTTGCTGGGTGTGGTGGTGCATGCCTTTAGTCCCAGCACTCAGGAGGCAGAGGCAGGTGAGGTAGATCTCTGAGTTTGAGACCAGCCTGGTTTACAGAGCTGGGCTACATAAGCTACCAAAGAAACCCTGCCTGAAAAAACTAACAAACAAAAAAATAAAACATGTGCACACAAAGAAGGTCCCCCCTCTTCATCTTATTATCTACAGACACATCAACCCTTCCTATTCTCTCAAGAGGTCTCAACCCTAGTACACATACATGACGACAGCAGGACAGACCCCAAGCGACATCTCAATCCCCTGCACCCCAACTCCTCCACCTCATGTCCTTAAAGCTATATCTTTACACACAGAAGACTGGAAAGGCTAGATCTGGGACCAGCTGCTTTAAGACCACTTGGGGACTGGAGAGATGGCTCAGAGGTTAAGAGCCCTGGTTGCTCTTCCAGAGGTCCTGAGTTCAATTCCCAGTAACCACATGGTGGCTCACAACCATCCATAATGAGATCTAGTGCCCTCTTCTGGTGTGCAGGCATACATGCAGACAGAACAGTGTATACAAAATAAATTAAAAAAAAAAAAAGACCTGACCACTTTAGGAGTCAAGGTAGCATGGAAGGGACCTAGACATACCAGTCTGCAGCCTTGCCAGCCCTGCCAGCCCAAGCTAGCCTTGAGGTATGATCTTCTTATCTATGTCCTACAAAGCCCACATTCCTCCAGTGGAGTCATATTTTACCTTAGAGCACCCCACCCCAAAATACCCTGTTTCCCATCTCTTCAGAGTCCCTGTGCTGGTGGCCAGCATTACTAGCTGAAATGCCCCAGCCTCTGCTACACCAGCATGTATGCAGGAGTCTGTGTGGGTGTCAATCATTAAGACTCAAGTCTGCAGATAAATGACATTCCACAAAAGGTATCAAACACATGTTCATTAGCAATAGTGTCACTGGCCCATAGATGTGATAAGGGAAGCATATGACTTACAACTCAGGTTAGGTGAAGACAGATGAAGTTATATCAAAAGCTCTATTTTATTAAACACTACTAGGTTAAATTACTTTTCCAGTCACTTGTCACACTATAGTAACACAGGGACACAACACCACAGCCTACTTCCTCTTCCTCAAATCACTTCCTCATTGTATGATTCTAACATATGACCAAACATTCTGAGAATTTTGTCAAGATACAAAAGACCATGCTTCAAATTTAGCTTCCTCACTAGCAAAACCTTGAGGAAGTTGATGAAGACCAAAACAGGAAGAAAACAACACCAAGTCTCTTAGAACTCCAGACCACCTTCTCTGTGACTACACGCTGTGTGTGTGTGTGTGTGGGGGGGGTGTCCTGGATAGCTGGCCTCAAACTCAATCTTCTGCCTCAGCTTCCAAAATGCTAGGACTGAAGGCAGTGCCACACCTGGCTTACACTTGCATGTCTGAGGCCACCCCTTGCAGTCTGGGTTCTTCCTTTCCTCAACTCCTCCTCCACCCTGAAGAAGACAGTTTCATCTCACCTACAGTAAACTGAGCTCTGCATTATTCATTCACCTGGATGTCCCCAGCACAGCCAACACAAACTAATTCATAAACTCATTGCCAAACCCAGGTCGTTCCCTTTTTGGAGTCAGCTGTGGCTTGATTGCATCTGTCTATCCATTCATTCCCTTACAAACCAGGCCTGCACAGCACCATCTGCAACTCTCTCAACACTTTGTTTTTAACCATTTTACCTCTCTTTCTTTGCTGTGTCTGAGTATTTTGCCTGCATGCATATCTGCACACCATATGGATGCCCGGCGCTATAGAGTTGCCCCCCCCGGAACTGGTATTATGGATGGCTTTGAGCTGTCATGTGGGCACTGGACACTGAACCCAGATCTACAGCACACAAGGCAGAAGCTCGCAATGCTGAGCCATCTTTTAGCACTCTGTCGGCTCACTCAGACCTTGCCTGGCTAACTCTGCAAGCCCTTTCTCCCAAATGCCTCTGTACCTAAAGCAGTACTGAAGGGCAGAAAACTGTATATGACAACAAAGGCCACCGTGCCTCTTGCATTAACAGACACTTGCTTGTATGCAGCATAAAGAAAACTTTGGAAACAGAACTCAGTCAAATTCAGGCAGGTTCATAGGGTTGTCAGCCTACCATATCTGTTTACTTTTAGGTCTTCTACTCAATATTACATTTAAAAGTAGAAGAAAAACTACTCTTGGGCTGGGGAGATGGCTCAGTGGGGAAAAGTGCTTGGCACACAAGCCCGAAAATGAGTTCAGATCCCGGAACCCAAGAAAAAGTCAGACACAAAATGAAAAGCAGATCCCAGGAAACCTACAGGAAGTGGAAATATGAGATTCCAAGAAGCTAATGGGGCCAAGTGAGATGGCTCATGCCCCAGATCCCAGCACCCAGATCTCTGTGAGTTCTAGGCCAGCCAGGGTTACACAGTGAGACCCTATCTCAAAAAGGAGGGGTGGGAACTAGTGGGCTGTTTGGCCTGGCTACACAGCATGAAAACAGGACCAAACTAAAGATCTTCCCTTACTTCCACACAGATCATGGTATACAGGTGCCTACCCCCACACAAACACATACATCATTAATACAAATAAATAATAATTACTACTTATATATAACTTATCAAGGACTTTCTAAATTATTTATTTGCTTATTCATTTATTTATTTATTTATTTATTTATTTATTGGTTTTTCTAGACAGGTTTTTCTCTGTATAGCTTTGGAGCATGTCCTGGCACTCGCTCTGTAGACCAGGCTAGCCTCGAACTCACAGAGATCCACCTGCCTCTGCCTCCCAAGTGCTGGAATTAAGGGCATGCGCCACTACCACCTGGCTAAATTCTCTATTTCTAAGAAAACAAGATTAAGGTTAAAAATGCAAAGTACTGGGTTGGAAAGGTGGCTCAGAGGTTAAGAGCATTGTCAGCTCTTCCAGAGGTCCTGAGTTCAAGTCCCAGCAACCACATGGTGGCTCACAGCCATCTATAATGAGATGTGATTCCCTCTTCTTGCGTGCCGGCAAGAACACTGTATGCATAATAAATAAGTCTTTTTAAAAAATGCAAAATACTTACAATTGCAGCAATTTCAGCTGAGGTCCCAGCATGGGTAGAAACAAAAATGATAGATGCCAACAGAAATACACAGCCTGTTCCCAGAGTGATGTAAAAATCCTACACATGCAGAGAAAACAAGAACACAGGTTAGAAAAGCAGACACCAAGTTTAAGATTTTTAATTTCAAAAACCCTTGAATGACTTACATTTCCTTGGTGCAACCCTAATGTAAACATGCTAGCCTGGTACCTTTTCAACAATGCAACCTACATGCAAACATTATCTATTTACAAAGAAAATTTTTTGAGACAGGGTCTCACCATGTAGCCCTGGCTGGTCTATAACTTAATATGTGGACCAGAATGGCCTTAAATTCACAGAGATCCAACCACTCCAACCACCTGCCTCTGCTTCCTGAGTGCTAGGATTACAGGCATGTGCCACCATCCCTAGCACATTTTTATTTTGAACAGATCTTTCTTTTGGTTTACGGTGTTACTGGGGAGTGAACCTATGGCCTTATGCATGCTAGGCAAACACTTGCCACTGAGCTGAACTTCTATTTGGTGGTTTCTCTCTCACAATTTCTCATGTAGCCCAGACGAGCCATGAACTTCTGATCCTCCTGCTTCTACCTTCCAAGTGCTGGGATCACCATGCCTACTTAGGACAAACATCTTCAAACAGAAAAATGCACTACTGGGGCTGGAAAAATGTCTCAACAGTTAAGAGGACTTACTGCTTTTCCAGAGGACCCCGGTTCAGTTCCCAGCACCTACATACTGACTCACAACCATCTGTAACTACAGTTCCAAGGATCTGTCACTCTCTTCTGGCCTCCAAGGCTACCAGAAATGCATAGAGTGTACAGACATACGTACATATGTACATATGTACATACATACATACATACATGCAGACAAACATATGAACAAAATAAAGTATTTTGTAAAGATTTATTTATTTTTGCATTGGTGTTCTGCCTGCATGTATGTCTGTGTAAAGATGCCAGATCCTCTGGAAAGGGAGTTACAGGTCATTGTGAGCCACCATGTGGGTGCTGGGGATTGAACCCAGGTCCTCTGGAAGAGCAGCTGGTGTTCTTAGCCCCTGAGCCATCTCTCCAGCCTCATATTTTTTAAAAAGAAATATGTAAGCCGGGCGTTGGTGGCGCACACATTTAATCCCAGCCCTCGGGAGGCAGAGGCAGGCGGATCTCTGTGAGTTCGAGACCAGCTTGGTCTACAAGAACCAGTTCCAAGACAGCCTCCAAAGCCACAGAGAAACACTGTCAAAGAAAAAAAAAAAAAAAAAAAAAAGATGTAGTGTTCAATAAACTAGCCTCTAAAGTCAGTTTACTTCAGTTCAAATCCAAGCTATACCACTTTCTATTCACGTAACTTCTTGTTTGTTTCTTTTTTGTTTGATTTTGGTTTTTAACACAGGGATTCTCTGTGTAGCTCTAGCTATCCTGAACTTGCTCTGTAGACCAGGCTGGCCTCTGACTCACAAAGATCCTTTACCTCTGAGATTGAGGGCATTGAAAAACCACTGCCCAGCTTCTTGTTTGTTTCTTATTGTTAATGTTGGGAGTGGGCCTGCAAGTGGCACTGCCTGTGCGTGGAGGTCAGAGGACAACCTTGTAGAGTAAGTTTTCTCTCATACCTGATTGCTGGGATTACAGGCATGTAAAACCACACCAATTCATAGAGCCCAGGATTCAGTGCAAACCAAGTAAGTATTCTACCAACTGAATTATATCCCAGTCAGTTTGGAGTGGGTGGTGGTGTTTGTTTGTTTGCACATGTATGTGAAACGGAGGCAGATGTCAGCATCTTTCCCAGATGCTCTCCACCTGATATCAAGGCATCATCTATCTCTGGCACACAGAGCCGTATGTGACAGTTCTCTAGCACCACAAAGGAGACAGAAAATGCTACCTAAGAAGTCAACTGTTCAAGTGTTCCCTAAATTAAGGGGATAAATAAATTATCTGTCATCCCTCAATATAAATCATAAGCAAATACCAGGGGTCAGCAGATTGCCACTAGAAAGCTAAGCACCGCTAATGTGAAAATGAAGCTTTCCCAGCCTTATAAGGAAAACATCCTTTTTGCTTTTTTTTCTTTCTTTTGTTTTGTTTTTTAGACAGTCTCTCTCTACATAACTGTCCTGGAACTTACTATGTAGACCAGGCCGCAGATGCTGGGATGCAGAGCTAGAACACAGACAATGCTCTTCCTAGTGCTTAGCTCTAAAGTGTTACTGATGGAACAATAAACCGGGCTGACTCCCAGACAGCAGCCTGACACACTTACCGAGGACTTGACTTTTCCAGGGTCCACTCTGTCGTGCACTGGTGTGCAGTATACGATCAGCAGAAGGAGGCTCAGGAGGAAGGCGCTACAGCTCACAAATTCAAAGAAGTACAAGCCTCCACACAACGTGCACTGGGACACAACCTCTTCACAGATGAAGGCCAGCAGAGACAGCAGCTAGAGAAGAAAACCATAGACCTCAGTGACTCAAAGAACCCATGACCTGTAAAACTACATGCAGGCTGTGCCTGGTGGCATGTGCCTGTAGACCAGACACTTGGGAGGCTGACGCAAAAGGATCAAAAGTTCAAGACCAGCCTTGCTAAGACTGTGCCTTGCTAAGACTGTGAGAACACCCCCTTAAAAAAAAAAAAAATTAAAACGACTATCTGTTTACTCTAATATTTTTAAAGTAGAGACTGGGGCAAGCAAAATTAGTGAACAAACTTGATCAACAGAACTTAGTCTGCTTGCCTTGAAGGGAAATACTAGTCTGTGTGTCAAACACAGAGACGCAGAAATGAGAGTGTTGTAACAGCCCAAAGGAGAGAAAGCTGAGTGCCACTACACATGGCAATTTTTTTTTTTTTAATGTGCTGTAATGAATGAGCCAGAGGGAAAGTTAGCAGAGGTATAGTTGGAGCTCAGCCAAGTGAGAGAGAGGTCAAGAGCACCCTGGGAGGGAGCAGCCTTCCTAAGGGGAGAAGCCAGCAAGAGCCATAAGAAACAGCAGCCCAAAGGGTAATAGACGAGAGCAAGTGTGGCCACCTGAAGAAGGCGGCAAGCATGCTACTGCTACTCAGAGGTCAAGAACACGGTCACCTGAATTAAACTGCACCACAAGAAAGCTGGCAGTTGTATCGGTGACCCTGGCAGGCAAGAAAACTCCCATCTGGCAGAGAAGTCAGATCACTCTGTACTTGCGAGTGGGGGTGGGGAGACATGGCAGCAGACTAGAAGAGCCAAGTCAAGTCAGGGGCGCAATGGATGAGGTCACAGGAAGGGAAGTTCAAGATGACAGCTTGAAGCACTTTTTACTGCCTTAAGCAGAAACCATGTGCTGGGAGGAACCAGGCCGCTCTGTACAGGGAGGAGCTGACGCCCACTCAGGGTTAACTCTTTAGAGAGGGGAAGACTGTTCATGACAGCAGGTTTTGTGAAAGCTTGGGGAATGGCCTTCTGAGTGCCCAACCCATCAAAAGGATTGATGACCCAAAGTGAAAACCAAAGGGAAATTCCACCTCACCCCAGGGCAGGAGAAACAGACAGACACAAGAGGAGCATCCAACTGCTACAAGGAAAACAACAAAGCAGACTAGAGTGCTGGGGCACACCCACACATTCAGCCCTCAGGAGGCCGAGGCAGCAGGATCCACTGGAGTTCCGGGCCAGCCTAGGCTACAATGTGAGACCTTATCTCCAAAAAACACCCAGGAGTTAGGAATGTAGCTCAGTGGTAGTATGAATGTCTGGCATTCAGGAAGCCTTGGATTCAATTCCCAGCCCTGGGGAAAAAAAAAAAAAAAAAAAGAGCTGGCCGTTGGTGGCTCACGCCTTTAATCCCAGCACTCGCACTCGGGAGCCAGAGGCAGGTGGATCTCTGTGAGTACGAGGCCAGCCTGGTCTACAAGAGCTAGTGCCAGGATAGGCTCCAAAGCTACACAGAGAAACCCTGTCTCAAAAAATAAAACAAAACAAGAAAGAAGAAAGAAAGAAAGAAAGAAAGAAAGAAAGAAAGAAAGGAAAAGAAACACAGTAGCTTGGAAAAGAAAAGAGAAATGAAAATCAAGGGCTGCCTTTCTCAGTGCAGTGAACCTCTCACCCACACTTTCATCACCAACGTCAACAGACAGCACTAGGGAAACTAGCAGCATCTTCAAAGCTAAGCACTTCTGTACACTCCAGAGAAATGAAAACCTACCTTGAGGAAAAACAAGTACAGGAACTTCACGATGACTTACTCAGACAGCCCCAAACTAGAAACAATGCAGACATCCTTCCACAGCTAAAGGAAGCTAAGGCACAAAATGTCCAGCCTAGTTCAATCTCCAGATAACTGTACAAAGTATAAAAACCAAATCTCGGTGGCTGAGGGAGGCTATAGCTACCATGCATGAGACCCTTCATTCACTACACAACACTAGAAAATTAGTTAGTTAGTTCAACCTTAAAAGGTTATAGCTAGGAGCCTGAAGAGATGGCTCAGCCAGTCCTCGGCAGGCCTAATAACCGGAGTTCAATTCCAGAACTAAGATGGTAGAAAAGAACCAACACCCAAGAGCTATCCTCTGACCTTCACATGTGTACCAAGGGAAACTTCCCACCTCACAACTAAAAAGATTTTATGCCAGAACAAAAATAGATCTCTTTGCTCTGGTTTCCTGTGAAGTGAGCCAGACATAAAGCAGACCCCCATGCCAAACAATTCGGATGGAGGCATTCCCTACCATTACATCACAGGATATGGAGGGACACACTGAGACAAACCACACCTCACTGTTTCCTTAACCTTCTGTGCTGGGGGCAACCGTATGAATTTCAGGATGAGAGTCCACTGCACCCTAAACGCCTAAGGTCTTACTTGCTGTATTTGAGTATGTTAAAGTTTATCCAAGTTTCCCAGCACTCAGGAGGCAGAGGCAGGCGGATCTCTGTGAGTTTGAGACCAGCCTGGTCTACAAGAGCTAGTTCTAGGACAGCCTCCAAAGCCACAGGGGAACCCTGTCTCGAAGCCTCCCCCCCCCCCAAAAAAAAAAGTTAAAAAGTTTATCCAAGTTTAAGAGTCTAGGAAGTACCTGAAAAACATATCTCCACGAGGCTGGAAAGATGATGCCTCAGCAGTTAAGAGTACAGGCTGCTCTTTCAGAGGACCCAGGTTCAATTCTCAGCACCCATACTGAGGCTCACGACTGCCTTTAACTCCAGTTCCAAGGGATCCAACACCCCTTCTGGCTGCCCTGGGTACCAAGCATGCAAAAAATACAGACAATATATGCAGACAAAAAATTCATACACATAAAATAAAAATGCACCTGTGTATGAAAGCCAGTTGAAGCCAGCTGTGGTGGGTACTCCTGTAATCCCAGCACTTGAGAAACAGAGGCAGGAAGACCAAGACTTGCAGGTAATTCTTGGCTTAGAGAGAGAAAACTTTCAATTGAGGGTTCTGTCTGGCTGCTCTTGACACACTCCTGTGAGAGCTGCAAGACAGTGACGCCTGGCCTACAGCACAGACACAGGCTGCCTGTCTGAAGAAGGGCAGGACTGCTCCCCAGAAGCAGAGGGTCCCAGGCCACCAGCAGCCCTGCTCTATGTACTAGCAAAAATCAGTCTTGCTGACAACAGGCAGACTCCACCTGGCCATCGCCAAATAAATGGGTTTAACATCCAGGCTGAACACTTCGGTTTTAAAGGACAAGAACAGTTCTTTTATAATCACCTTCAGCATTATTCCCCCTCTAGTGCAGAGTGTGCTTTAATATGCAGCAACAATGGGTGTGTGTATGCGCATGGGATGACAGAGCAACATGACCCACATGTTGGGCTGTGTATGAGCAGCCAATGGCAGAGCAATATGATCAATGCACAATATGACCAATGCACAATATGACTAATGCACAATATGATCAATGCACAAGAAACAATGAGCAGCAGTGCTTTTACACCACACACCTGAGCAGTCCTCGTGGAAATACCCAGAGTAGTTACAGAAGGCTGGATGGACACATAAGACTCAAACCAGGGTTGAGACACACATGGGCAGGAGAGGACATTCACAGTCGAAGGAGAAAGGACAGACTCATGAGGGCAAGAACATGCTGGGTGAGTCCAAAGGGGTACTGCCCTAACTGGTTGGGAATGGTAAGGTATTCAAAAGGAGTAGGTGTGCCTATGTGATGAGAAACACAGGACTCTGGGAATTGAGGGAGTTCCCCAGTTCAAGAGTAGAAGGTAAACTGGGTGATAGTGGTGCATGTATTTAGTCCCAGCAGAGGCAGAGGCAGGTGGATCTCAGTGAGTTCAAGGCCAGCCTACAAAGTGAGTCCAGGACAGCCAGGGCTGTTACACAGAGAAACCCTATCTCAAAAAACAAACAAAACAAAAAACAAAAAAAAGAGCTGAAGAGCACGGAGTAAATAAGTCAGGATATGTTGGTTTTGGTTTTAAAATAAAAAGGGAAACTTTTAAAGCAAGTAAAAAGACTTCAAACAATTTATCCAACAGTAATACCTAAGAGACTCTGATGGGGGGTATTTTATTTTAGTCATATTTTGTTTTGGTAAACAGATACTTTCTGTATTAAGTAAAGAAAAATAATTTCAAGAAGTAGTGGTCACCAGTATTTCACAAGTAGTCAAGGGCAGGAAGCAAGAGTCCCCTACACACAAAGAAATAATTCGATAAAAGGCTCCATGCTGTTTTCTTGGTAAACACACTATTTACAGGAAGAACTTATCATACTAGAGACTATTAGTGAGCACTGAACACAGTGATGATGCATCCAGCTCTCTGAGTGTGTCTACCTGGACATGATGGGGAAACAGAGCGCTTAGAGTGGGGATCATCTTGAGAGCAGTTTCCCATCTGAGTTTACAGATGAACTTGAGCTAGTCCCACACGGTATGAAAGTCTATCCCCTTAAACATCTGAAAAACTGCTTGGCATTAGTTAGAAGGCATCATCCTCTATAAAATTACATGTACTTAGAAAAGAGCACACCATTAAAAACTGACTTAAGAAGCTGGAAAGATGGCTCAGGGGTTAAGAGCACTTACTGCTCTTGCTAAGGATCTGAGTTCAGTTTCCCAGCACCCATGCAGGATGGCCTAAAATCACCTGCAACCCCAGCCTCAGGGTATCTGACATCTCTGGCCTCTGCAGGTACCTTCACTCATTTGCACATAGCCTCACAAAACACGCACGCATGCACGCACGCTCGCAGGGGGGGTGGGGGTGGTGGCGCACAACTTTAATCCCAGCACTCAGGAGGCAAAAACAGGTGGATCTCTGTGAGTTCAAGGCCAGCCTGGTCTACAGATCTTTCCAGAACAACAACAACAACAAAGACATATCACTGAAGTCAGGAACTGTGGACATACCTATAATCCCAGCACTCAGGAGGCCAAAGTGGGAGGACACTGTGAGCCTGAGCCATACAGCAAGCCACAGGCTAACCT